TTATTCTCAGGAAATACACTTAAAAATTATTATTATGATTATTATGAATACATTGAAGAAAACAAAAGCAATCAAGTTATAATCTCAAGCTCATTACTTGAAATGATTCATGTTTCGCACAGATTTATTACTATTTTAAAATTTTGTTGTGCTAAATATTTTTAAAAAAATGAAAAATAAATAAAACAACTTAATGAGCTCATTCGATCATTCATTCATTTTTTGAATCAATGAAATTTTAATTATTTCTAATGATTTGTTTATTTAACCAAATGGTTGATGAAAATTTATCGAATGAGTAAATAGTTTTGAATCACGGATTAACACTAAGTGAATAAAATGTGAGAGAAATCCTTTTTGATTTTCAATGATTCTTAGCTGATGTATAGTTAAATAGAAAACAAATAGATCATTCAAAGATGAGTTATAATTCTCAGTCAAGTCAGTTAATTTAATGATTTCGTAAATTATCATTAGTTCATATTAGATTATTGATTACATTCTAGTTTGATTCATTCAAAATTATCTGTTGACTAAATAGTTAACATGTTTTGTTATTGATATTTTGAATGTCATTCAGTTAGTCGGTGGTGAATACATCGATCATTTTCTTCTTTGCATTGTTATACTAGTCACATTCCTTTGAAATAAATTACAGCGTGATATACTAGAGCTCCATTAACAATAAAGTGTCAGTGGAACTGTGGAGGCTTATCTTCATTCTTGTTTTTATTGGATGTATATAATTTGGATGGTCTGTTGTAGGAAGGATTTCATTTGAGATTGGAGGGAAAAATTTGTAGCTCAGATGGATGATTACTTGTTCTTTAGCACAAGAATATCATTGTTTATTCACTTTGATCAAATGTGTCCTCGTCTGTGTAAGGGAAGTATGCCTTGAATATACTGTTTTCATAGACTGATTTCGTTACATTCACGAAACCAAGTTAAGAATAAAACCGATTTGGAAGTATTCATAAAATTAACTTTCACTCTGAGAAATTTTTGTGAGACATGTTATTGATGATCATTGAGAAAGTACAAATAGTTACGGCATGTTTATTCTGTTCAAATCAAAATATTTATATGAAAATCAAATTATTAATTATAACATCTCTGTACATTTTATTAAGTTATTGATTAGATTGAAATTTGTATTTGAGCCATAAAAGTTATTTCCTACGGTCTTAGATAAAAATTTGCACACATCATTACCGAAATATAAATTGTTCAACTCATAATTGAACATTACCAATTATTGATCGATATCAAAGAGTTTCAAGAATTCAATAGCAGACATTCATGAACATAATATGCTATTCACTTATAATTATAAAAATGAATTCATTTTTTTAAAAATAAAAATCCTCATTTCTTATATAATCATATAATCTACTGATTTGACTGAAAAAAGTTCAAATTCTACTTTCAGTTGACATTTTTAATTATCATACAAAGGAAGTAACAATTTTTTGAATTTCTCACTTCTCACCTCCTTCAATTACCTCTACAACAATCAATTTATTTTTCGCATTCCAATGAAATAATGAGTTAAATTTTTTTAAATAATCATTTTATTATGCACAACTAGATTTGATAATACTGATTTGATAAAATTAAGTTACAGTCTAACAAATTAGTGATTTTGTAGATATTTACATCAACAATGTATTCACTGATGATTAGTTTTACCTAAACGACCATCAGATTATTAGAAAGCTGTTTTCTTCAGGTGTTAGAATATTCAGATGAATATTTCTAAAACTGTGTACGAAGATTTCCTTTACTATCAATAATAAAGTCTAGAAACCTATCAGATATCTATCAAGCTGATTCACAGAGCATCTATTCATTTTTTTAACACTAACTGATTATTGCAATGAAAAATGTTGCTGTTCTAAAGAAACATTGTAACAAGTAAGGTTTGAAAAAAGAGTAATTAAAACCTCACAAATAAAGGATCAAATCATTGACATACATACATTTTGATGTGAACATGATATCGTTCAGTTGCCGTACTGGAAATTATTTCCCTAATTATTCTTACTTCGGTCAATTATAAATCAGTCGTAAATTTAATTTAATTCTGAGTAAAAACAGTTGCTGTTTAATAAGACTATGTGAAGATCAGTTTATTCGGAAGAGTTCATAAAGTTGGATAGTGTCAATCATTGAATCCTAACTGAACAGTTAGACATTTATTCTTCCTATTTTATTTCTGAAGTAGTCAATATAACAATGAAATAAGTTCCTTTTTGGTTATTTATATAGTCACTGACAATTGGCTGTCATAATTATCATCCAAATGGGTTGATCTTCCCCAATTATTTAACTTACAAAATAATTTTCATTTACGTATTGGTACAGATGATGGTACAGTATAAGAGAACTTAATACAACTGAGTAAATGACTTTAAAAGTGTTGTGAAAGGGACGCTGTCTTTAGTTCCACTATATATATATATATATATATTCTTACTTCTGACACTTGCTTGTTTTCGTTCTGAATCATTACCAAATTTTTAGGCCAAAGCTATTTTACGGAATAAGAGCTCAGGATAGAAATACATCACCTAAACTCATCTCACTTTTTAACATTTTAACAGCTACTCAGCTCAAAATCTTCAAAAGATATTCAAGTCAATTATTTCACACTGCCACTGAATAAAAAATTCATGGGTTACACATTTTAGACCAGTATGATATTCATTATAGAGTTATGGAGATTGTGGCTTTTCATTTAAATCATGAATAGATCAATTTTAGACCGCCATTAAGAACCTGGAAGCACCGGACGACCATTTCGTCTTAGTATGGTAGTAGTAGTAGTAGTAGTAGTAGTAGTAGTAGTAGTAGTAGTTGTTGTTATTGTTGTTGTGAATCCATGACCCCACTGATAGTAATCTAACCCAGGACTTTCGGTCTCGCCCGCGAACGCTTGACCTGTAGACCACTGAGCCGCTATCCAACGGTGTTAATGTCTAACTTTAATCTATCCTTAAAATGGTGCAACCTAACATATTGTCTTCAGTTAGTACCTACACCCGACAGGGTTGAACTCCACTATCCACGGCTTCTCACTACAACTCCGAGAATTTCCTCACGAATCTAGTCACTAGTAAGCACATAGTATGATATCCATACTACGACGCTTTCGTATGGTTATCTAACAATGATTGATCCATGATTTCAGTCAGACCAATTCGTCACATTACGGATACTACCTGTTACCGAGACTTCAGTTTCTTGATAAGTTGAACAAAATCTATAGCGAATCGCTAAGTTCTTGTAGAGCTTCAAGAGCAATAATTTTGAAAAATTTGATTGTATCACTTCTTAACTGCCCACATATTTAACAAAACTTAGCTGTTATACATTTCCAATAAATATTTATCTGTGACCTACTTACAAGTCGAATTTCTTCCTGAATAAAATTCATGCTTGAAAAAAGCATTTGATGATGAAAAGGTGCATCTCCACTTGTTTAATAACTGTTTCGAAATTTCGGAAACTTGATGGGTTTTATGAAACAATTAACCTTGATGTTTTTCACAACTTTCAAAAAAATGAAGATGGGCATAAATGAACAGAAACGATATTAATAGGTAGATTGAAATTCTTTCTGCTACATGACTTTGATCACATTTTCAGTATGCATAAATTTTATTATTGTTCGATGATCTAGATTTGAATAAGTGGATTAAGAGATAAAGTCATGATTAGTTACATTTTGGACCTTCTAAACATAGTAAAATAGGTTTCAGTCTTCATACAAGAAAGACATCAATATCTTATAGATTGTATACACACACCTATAACTGTCACAAAGTTTCAAATCTTTTTGTATGGCTTTCTCTCTTGACTCGTTCGAAAATGGTATTCTCTTTCATTATATTTGATGTTTTCGGTAAAAAGTAGTTTCGCTTAATGTTTTCATTACATTTCTAAAAATTCGTTTGTCAGATGTTTGGAAACATTATTCAATATTACTAATAAAGAATGTTTAGTTCAGTTAATCATTCCTGACTGGTAAAAAATGAAAATGACGTATAAAAAGCCTGTCAAAATTAGACAATTATTAAACGATACTTCAGGTCTATAATCTATCATTAGATGGTTATTATTACTATTATTATTATTATTATTATTATTATTACTATCAGTGATGGTTCATCACAGTATTAGTATTGATAGTAGTAGTAGTAGTAGTAGTAGTAGTAGTAGTAGTAGTAGTAGTAGTAGTAGTAGTAGTAGTAGTAGTAGTAGTAGTAGTAGTAGTAGTAGTAGTAGTAGTAGTAGTAGTAGTAGTAGTAGTAGTAGTAGTAGCAGTGATTAGTGATTTTAGTTAAAGACAATGCAAATCACGGTTGGGATATCGAGATTTTAAAAAACTCACAGAGTACAGCTCTTTCTCTGCACGTTGTATATAACATTGTTAATGATGGCTTATAACTTATGGAAAATTCACAAGATGTGGTCCTAAACTGTTAATCCATTCAGTAATTCAAACTTATTTCGAACAAAGTAGAATTTATTAATGAAAGTAACACTCATCTGATATTAAATTCGGCAAACTAATCACAAAAGTAAATAACTCCACTCTCTTACATTATTAATTTTATCACAAGTTAAATTAAAGGAATTCAGTTAGAGTATGATTTCGGTCAGTATTCAATAATTGATTGATGAGTTGTCTCAAAATTTCTCAGCATTACCAGGATAGTAGACATTTCCTGACACGCTTCACATCTAATTCTAATCATTCACTGGACAAGTATGAATGGAGGAATTAATAATGTTTGACATTGTAAATAATTACCAAACTTCATAATAAAATCCCTCGTTGAGAAACTATTAGCAATTAATGTTTAATTCTTTCGGATGGCGGTTGATATTCTTAGTTGATTTCAAAAAAATTCACGTTCACTTATATTGAAGTATGCAGTAATTATAGTGAACTAATAAACTATCTTTACTTTGATGTGTTATTAATATTGTAGACTCAGACGAATATTTATGAAATTGTTACTGATTTACAAATGGAACAAGGTTGTTTACAACACAGAATGGAGACACTGGAATCATCACTGATAAAAGTGCAGGTCAGTCAATGAATCTGATCACTTTTTCTGTCTATTAATATATGTATATTTCATTTATAAAAAGAATGCATATGAAGTTTTGTATACTATTTTTCTCCACCACAAACACGGAGAATGTAAACTGTTGGGTATGTTAGATCCCCACAAGTCGCTTGATAAATATCTTGTTTTCTGATTTATTTCACGGGCCGATCAGTTGACCTTGAGATCACATTTCCCACCAGGAAAATCCTTGGCTGTGATTGGTTACTGTGTCATTTTAGTGTGCTATTTTTGTGAATGTCCCAAGGACGTCTCTATAGAGTATAAATAAACGCAACTTGAGTGCTTAGATTCATTGTGTGCTGGCTGGGTGTTTATAGAATACACTTTCTATGCTATCCCAATACTTCTTGCTGGTACAGTTTGGTCAAGGGATCACAGTAGCCTACCTGGAGATTGGTTCATTGTTTCGTTCTCGTTATTTGACAAAGGTGAACTCGTAATAGTTTAAGCATACCTAGAGACGAGCATAACATAAACCGTGGTAATGAATCAAGTTATCCTTGTGATTTTACTGAAAGTTGGTTATTCATAACAAACATATTTGATTCTGAATGATTTTTTATCAGACCAGTTAGTCTAATGAGTAGATTTAAAGTTTTTTATGAGTTAATTATTAATGTTTGTTCTGCCATTCAGATGTATGTCCCGATACATTCTCATTTCAATGAGAATCTACTTGGTATTGTTTCAAGATCAGACAGAAAAGTAGAAATATCAGTATTTGTTGGTCAAAATAATGTGTCATAAATTAAACCGAAGTTTTAAAATTTTAATTTTGGTTTTATCAATAAAAACACTTTATAAAATTCTACTCAAGATGATGAATGAAATCAGATTTTCAAACATTTAGTTGTATTTCTGCTATTTCTGAAATATGCTTAAAAAATACTGTCAGGTTCATAAAGTAACAATGATAAGTTTTTGGCATTATTAATATTATTCCTACTTCTACTACCTGGGAACAAGTGGCAAAAAAATAGAGCAGAATAAAATTGGTCAGAGATTTGTGATCGGTGGCCGATGCTCCACAAGAGATGAGTTCTAACATCCCTTCAATATTAAATACACTTAATTACTATTTCAGAAAAAAAATCAAGGCATTATCCAATACTTTATGTTTTCAAAATAATTTTGCAGTCAACAGTAGTTATGCAACAATCACCTACAGTACTATAATTATGAGGAATAATTTCACTAAACAAAGTACTTTTGATGAACATGTCACGTGATAAAAATTTGAAATTAGACTGAGAATACCAATGTTTAAGATTATCTTTTGTATGATATAAGAAAAGGAATGATTCATAGTAATCAGAATCATTTCATTGAACTGAATAGAAGAAGGCTAACTTGGTATAGAAAGTAATATTTTATTTTCAGTTGTATTGCTTATAAAATTGTCCCAAGATTAGAAATATTTTCTGTAACAACTTTTTTAATTCTAATTTACAGGAACAATTAAGGGCACTACCTGGTTTAATAAGAACAGTAATTATACAACAGCATTTAGCCTATCAAAAACTAATCACAGCACCTGTCAGTACAACATCAGTTAACCAACCGATAACTTTGAAACCTGAAGAACATAAATCATGAGTACTTTGAAATCAAGTTGTATATAATTTGTAACTATTCCTGAATAATATTGATTTTGGATCAATTCACTGGGTGAAGTGTTTAAATTTAAGAATCGCAACATATTCAAAATTAAACAGACGAATAAGAAGCATTATTAGCTGAACAGCTACAATTTACACATTTATTACCAATTAAATGACCTTGTTTTACCTAAAGTTCCTTTTCTTTTAATTCAGTGAGATATTTTCATATTGATATATACTTTTTGGTAGACAATGAATCGAAATTTACTTGCCCTTACTAAACACTGAACACTTTTTGTGAGTGTTTTCAGAGTACAATTGTTTTAATTATACTGTCTTTCATTCAAGGACTTGTTTTAGTGAATAACAATTTCGAAAATTAAATGAATCAATCATTCTAACTTTGTTTAAGAACAAATATATGCAAATCAATACAAACGTAAACTATTACTTCTTATATAACTCTTTCATAGCTCAAATGACACATCTTAGTTTCTTCATGATGCACAAAGATGAACATATTATAGTGTAGATTATTTATAAGATAAAAATAAACTTTTAGTATGACACATTTCTGAAATTGTTCGATTGCTAAATTTGTTTCTTTTTTACTATGTACTTAACTAACATGATGTATGCAAAATACTCTAAGCTTAACACTTGTTTGGTGGAAAAATGAAACTTTGATAAAAGATTTTCATTTAAAGTAAGATCAATTATATAAAAGATTTTATTTTGTACATTACTGATGATTTACTTCATTATCTGCAACTGAATGGATAAACGAGCACAAAACATTTTCAAATGATGTATTTTGTCACTTACATTAAACACTACATCTAAAAAATGTTAGATCAATAGGATTTTCATGGTATCTTGGTATCTTGAATTCAATTACTAAAATAGTTTTGTCTCAAACTTATGTATCCAAGAGTATGAGAGCAAACAAATGTACAATCGAGAAAGAAGATAAATTTATGAATGAACTAAGGCCGAATAAATTCTTAATGTTTTAACCAAATAGAGATGATGAGCAGAAACACAAAACCTTTATCTTCGGTTACTTCACTGTGACAGTGGTAATAAGAAACAAAAATACAGCTAGCCTTACATCAAAACAATAATCATATAGCCATCTGCATTGGATTATTGTCGCTTGTAACATTCGAAGATCTGCATAGGTAAGTTCCCATTATTATGAGTGTTGTAGTGTGTCAATTTACTGCGTGTTCTTAAGCTCGGTAATTAACTCGTTCAGACAATCGTTGCCAAATAGCGTCTGACGGTTGATAAATCAGAAGATGAACACAAAGTGATGAATACGTTTATTCGGGACACACCACAAAGCGAAGCGGAGAAGCAGTGAATAAAACGAATGAAGCGACGTGAACTGGAGAAGGCTTTTGAACCAACTCCTAGAAATAGAGCATTACTAAGGAAATATAGTCAGACAAAAATAAGACAGATATATGACAAGCGAAATAGGCATGCACAGACATGAATAAAAGCGACGAATGATTGACAAGGTCAAAGGTAAGCGAGACAGTCATGTGAGTTCATAGGGGTATTAAGAGATTAACATTAAAGCGAAAAGGATGAGTCAGCGCGTAGGCGTAAGCAATGCTCAGTCGTACAAGCTCATACAAACCAGATAATAAAAAATACCAATGGTACATATGGATTGTTGCTATGCCAATAGCGTGGTTACATAAGTTAATCGAAAGGCGTGATCAAATTAAATATGAGCGAACTCAAGTTTATGTGGAGGCACGACAATGTCATTAAAGTATAACTAAGCAGGAGAGACCCTTTACCACAGTTAGACCGTAGACAGTAACATTTGATTTAACGAACAAAGCTTTCATCCAGTACTCTCAAAGATAAAGTTTGTATTGAAGGCTTTCAGGTTACTTTTACTACCAGTCATCTTAGTACAATCATAAATTTTAGACAAATTCAAACCAGTTTTGTTTAAAATAAGAGTACCTAACTCAAAAGCCTCTTCAGTCAAAAAATGATTTGTCTCATACCTTTCAGTTACATAAATTTTGCACAGAACTGTGTAATTTGGTTACCAGCTGAATCCTGTAATTCACTCTATGGAATACTGATCCTGTAAGATGTATACAGATGACTTGAGATCACATATTCTCACTTACTTGTTCATGAATAGAGAAACAGAGCAAAGAAGTATCTCTCTCTAACCAGTTTTTTAATCATGGCTCTATACTGAAATGTAAGTGTGATAAAATCTACACCAATCAAGTGGTGGTGTCTGAACTCATCACATTATATATCCAGACACTTCAGAAGGTAAGTGTAATAACGGAGTAACTAAGTGACAGGATGAATAAGTCATTCACTATTCAAAGAAACTAGTTGATAAGCAAATGTGATTAGAACATGGAGAGTTGACAGATAACATAATATCTAGTATGAGTATTGCCTAAATTGAATCAAAGAGGGTTTAGTGCCTTATGGTTTTGGAAATTTCACTACACAGCGAAATATATATTTCTTCCTTTGCACCCTTCTTTGTACAAGACCAACAAATTCACTGTAGAATAAGCCTTATAAATGGTTAAATATCTGTATAAGGGGGAAATCTCAGAAGGTCCAGCAACCAAAATCAAATAGTTTGCGTCTGCAACTTTTCTTCAGTGACAGAGTTGTGAGTTACTGAAATTCACTACAAGAAGACATAATCTTTCAAGTAAGACTTGCTCCTCCAGAACGGACCACAAATGCTTTGTGGTACTTCTTCTGACTGGCTCCTGTCTCTTTTTAATCTCTATGATTGGTCAACTCAACATAAAAACATCAGATCTTCCAGCATTAGATTTTAATAGTTGACGTACCTATAAACCCTAAGAATCCTATTAGTTCTTGACTACTGAACATGCCTATCATATTCTTCCTGCTGAAAATAAACAAAGAGCTTATATCTAGTCTAAAATCATTTATTAGTATTTTGCGTATTGCAATTAAATCACGTCTACGTTTACAATAAGATAAAGTAAGGAGGTCTAACTTTCTGGGCAGTTCAGTACTGTGATGAACCAAAAAATATGAGTACACGAACAACACTGATGTTTTATAAATGTATGAACGTAAAATCAGCGAATATAAAAAGTATACACTGATAAATGCACTGTTGTGTACTGACAAAGTTTCCGAAGTAATTTCCACAATTATGAAATAAAATTGATAGCCACACAATACGCGCTCTTAATTATCGGAATAAGTAACTGATCAGGATACTAATTCTAGCACAAATTATTAGCTGGGTAGCAAGTAAGTTGGAAACCTGGTGTTGTCACAGCAGCCAATCTGAACTTTGGGTCCGGGCAGTAAATTGAGAGCTAATAGCCACCTTCAACAAAAATATTCACTACCATCCTTGCACAACAAGATAGATTTGTGGTGGCCAATTTCTACGTGTTCTTAATCTTCGTAATTAGCTCGTTCAGACAATCGTTACTAAATGGCGTGTGACGGTTAATAAATCAGAAGGCAAACTCGAAGCGTTGAATACGTTTATTTTGGCACACCACAAATAGGGATAGCAGATCACAAACAGATCGATCAGGCACACTAGCGAGCGAATGTGCGCAGTGTGAGTGTATTAATAATATTAAAATGTTCATATATATACATAGGAAAATGTCTGAGTCATCATGATATTTAAGAGATCAATACTGAAGCGAATGAGATGCATATGCGCGTAGGCGTTAAGCAATGCTCAGTCATGCCAGCTCATACAAACCACACAATAATAAAAGCCAGTGGTACATATAAGTTATTGTTGTACAAATGGCTTAGTTAAATAAATTAATCGAAAGGGCTTAACCAAATTAAACGTAAGCGAACTCGAATATACGTGGAGGCACCACAGATTTTCACCCGTCCTATGAGCAGATATTTGACGTCCACTGAACGATTGTATTAAAGACGGTTCTTGGTTATGTAATTCATCAACACATAGCACTTGACATCTAGTTTCTTGAGATCTCTTCAGGAAGATTACCAAAGAAGATGTTGCAAAATTGTGATCACAGTTGTATGCTGGTTATTAAACGCAAAATCCAACATATCAACGGTATTTTTGAACGCACTAAGTTCAAAGTAGAAGTAAAAAAACTCCAAAGAAATCCAGAGCATATCCATGATTTACTTCATCCAATCGAAGTAAATCGCTCCCTACCACGCGTTTTCAGATGTGCTGACTCAAATTATAAGACTAATAAATTTGGACAAGTATCGGACAGTGACAACATTGTTTTGAGGTTACTCACTGTTTTGGCAAATAACAGACATTTTTGACGAAGTACATACCGTTATATAAACTTTGTAAGGATGAGAACTACACAAAGACGTCTTAAATCTACTGCAACATAGTAAAGATATAATGCGGGATACAAACATTATATGCACTTTTACTAAGGATTTCTCAGTAGCAGAGATTTTTGTTTCTATACACATTTATGTTCATAAAATTCTGTGTTTGCTTCATATTATAAGAGAATTTTTCCGAAAGCTTGCAAAGTATTTACTTTAGTTTTGAAATGTTGATGTTCGAAAATGTATAGATTTAGTAGAATACCTAGCGATGTGATCTGTACGCTTCACGTTGCGCAGTCCATTATGATCAGGTCTACTCATTAACATGGTTGCTTGAGAAAACGTTTTCCATGGTCTTATGGATACATAAGCGGTAATAGGTTGACTGGAAGCTATTATGGGCTTGAGTGAATAAAAGATCTACGATGTTAGCCCAAGCCTCAGGTGATATATGTAGTAAAAAGTGTCAGTTTTAAGTATCAAGGTCACCTCAAACTCTTTTTAGACTGGCCTAAAACCATTGCAAGCAGTCAAAAAAATGAGATTAAGTGACAGCAGGAGAACAGATCAACTGCTACAACAGTGGCATAGTTTATTTTGTTGATATCTCGCCTGCACGATGTGCTTGTAAGAGTTTAAGTGACTATATGTTGCAGTGTGGTAACATTTTGTATGCATATGCGTGAAGGAAAATGTTTATTTGCTGAACACTGTAATAATCACCACCCGTTGCTAAAGAAACCGTCTAGTGGACAATGTTTTCTACTCAGTGACACCATGTCAAGTTCCACAGAGAGTGATGGTCAGCTAGAGTAATTCGCTGGCTGATATGGCGTTTCTCTTCATCTGTTGCACAAATGCATCTATATAGGGTAATGTTTGTATACAATAACGATTACTTCGCAAATTATTCTGCCTTCCATTCAAATTCCAAACACAATGCTTTCATTTGTGTTCACATAGTTCCCCCTGAAATCCGTTCTAGTCCATCAAATTGTTCTCACAGCATTTCATTAGAGAGGACTGCGAAACGAGGGAACGATTGTTTATTATAGTGCTGGTAGACACAGATCACCATGTAGAGGTTCCCCAAGGCCGTTTATCAAAAGCTGAAATCATGATCTTTGTTAGGCTTGTAGTTGCTTTCTAATTGATATATTGTACTACCCGAACATTAGCTTCAATGCCTCAGATGGAGACATCCATGCTAAAACGTATATGTTTTACATGATCGTATGGCAGATAATAAGTCCTTCAAATCAATAGTAATGTGAGTCTTCGATAATGATGCTAACCTCATTAGTTCTACTGGACATACCCTAGCTGAAAGCGCTCCATCACGCGTCCACACCAGATCACTACTAGATAGGCTATGCGATGCATCTCTCGCAATAACTGGACAGATTATATCATTCAATTTTCGAACTACCAACCATCTACGAAACGTGTCTTCTAGTTTGATTGAGTTTCGAACTTTCAAACAAAACGGTGTTAAACATTGAATAACAATCACATCGGCTAGGTAACTGCTAACGAAGGCTATAGGATCTAATTTTGTACATCTCTGCGCGAAACTGGGAAACATCCTCCCTTGTGATTTCTCCGGTAAGTACTTTTTAATCGTTGTCCAAATTTTTGTATATTTGTTGAAATTTTTCTGGTCCGTAACAATAGTTGTAGTTATAGGTCATTAGTGTTCGATCATAGGCGTCTTCAAAGCATTGCTCGGGTGTCCTGGGACAACCGAGTAGACAGTGCTGTCGAGTACCAGGTAGGGATGACAAATCGACAGATGAATTAGTGAAACTTCATCAGTTAAGGTGGTTGGTACACAAATTTCAACCGCCGACTGCTTCGACGAGCGATGTTTTGTGGTATAGGAGTAGGTTGGAAGAAAGCCAGGGGGGGCCAAGAAGAACCATGGCAGAAATCCATGAAGTAACTGACAGGTGGACTAAGTCATATTGGTAGATGTGGACTATCTGGTTGTAGTCCGTGAGACGACAGTAACGGATGGCTCAAAATTGTTTGCAGTGGCGCAGGTGAGCCCATTCTTTATCTTCTCCTAAATTCTAATCTGAATTCCTCATCACCCATATGCTTCCCTTCTTAAGGTTATTTAACTGAAATATGCTCACTGAATTACATCTTCAAACCCTAATCTTTCCCCATACTGCTTATTTTTCTACTACATCTACCACTGTGGGATTTGAATCTACAGTCGCATTTCTTCGCAAATGTGGTATTGCAATCCGAACTGATGTACGTACGTACCAACTTCTACGTTGTAGCTGACTGATTGACGGACTTTTAGCAATTGTTCTTGCCTTATTTTACTGAGCATTTTGTGAATTCCCTCATGTTGAACCAGATACTTTATTACCTGGTGAAAAGATCGTCCCAGATTACGTGATTGATTCTGAAGGACGTCACTTCTCTGCTTTATGGATGTTTCCTATTGATAACTATTGGTTACCCTTTTTTGGGGCTGATCGGACTGACTTACCCTCTTCGTTTAATGGAAAGTTGTTTCTTGACTGTTGTAATAGTAGTGTTTTACCGAGTGTCTCCACCCGATTGAAGAAGTGCCATTCGGTGCATATTCTTCTGCATGATTTTGAGCGTTTGTTACGCTGTGATAAAAGACTATCAGTTATTATCAGTTTGTTAGCTCATTTCAATAACTTTTACTCAAGGTTTTGTTTCTAGGTAGAAGTTTTGGAACAAAAGCAATAGTGGCAACGATAAACTATCTTTTAGCAGTTATAATGGTTATCAAACCAGAATAAACACCTGTTTAATGAGTTCAGTTGAAACGATAATGTGTACTTTCAAAGTCATTCTGAGTAGAGATAGAGAACGATGGAACTGGGAGTTGTTTTTGAATGACAGGTGTATGCAGAATGTAGTGTAGTCTCTATGGTGGTTGAATATGAAAAGAGGTTCGACAAATGGCGTTCCGGAACGTGATCGAGCCAGTATGTGTGGACAATCGTCTACAGCTAGTGATGATTTCAGAATGTTTCCATGTCAATTTCTTACAAGCTTGAGGAAGTCATGGTTATTCAAGGGGGGAAAACACTTTTGTTCATAACATCTTTCGGAGTGAGGGTTCTCAGAGCCAAGTCAAACTAGAAGTCAGGAGTGAACTAAGCTTGTTAGATTCAGTGATGAGATGCGTTGCACTGGGAATCTCACCATGATTGACTGAGAACCTTCAAATAGGGTTTTTTAGTAAAACCAAGCATCGAAGGGGTATAGAACTATTTACTTTGGGATATATTTACCGGTGCAAGATATGTACTATTGTCTTTCGTAGTCAATTAGTTACTGCTACACCCTAGGAACTAGATGGAATCTTTTGAGTTCTATAAAATAGGAATAATAACATAAAATACTTGATTTCTCATCCAAATAGCTTTTAACTATAGATTGTATTCTGTACGTGTTTGAAACACTTGTGATTGATAGGAACTTGCGATTGCCGCGTCGCATGATTTCTGTATATGGAGCTGTATCAACAGTTCCTGTCGACTGAGGATATTCTTAAGAATATCATTGATGATGCGAAACAGAACATTCGAGCAACATTCAAAGAAATTACGAATGCCTTAGGAGACGTTGAAACTCATGCAAATGATGATGCTATCAGTGAAGATGCAGAGAAACAGTAAGTTCTACATGGTTAGTTAACTGTTTCTAAAGGATTGAAGAAACCGAAGATCCCCCACCAAAGCCTGTGGCTAATCCAAAACGAAAGATAAAAACGAGCATACACTCTGCGAAATGTGAACATAGTCCCTTGAACCGTTCAAAAGTTGACCTGAAAATGGATACATATAAATCACCGGCTAGTCTGTTGAACAACCCAGGAAAGTTAAATAAGCAGTTGCGTAATACGAAAAATAGTCCAAAACAAACGGAGCCTAAAAGTGTAAGTTCGACTTCCAACTAATACTGAGGTCATGTTTGCTACGGAGCTAATTCCGCAGTTTGGAGTAACATTTCCTCGTGGTCCTCGTGAAAACGATCAGCAATGTTTGCCTTTTATTAGTCTTCGGACTTCCGTATGAAAAATAAAGGTTGAATAGTTTCTGTCTATTAGTAGATGTACCAAGTTACTGTAAATGTGGCTTCGAATCCGTGCAGCTGGACAATATATATACTTTATTAGGATGCTCCCCACTCAAATGGATATATAATTGTTGATGGATTTATGCAACAAAACTTGAGTTCCTAATAATATCTTGTTAGTCAGACCCCTGCAAGAGCAACCATATGTACATTTGACCGTGTGCTTATTGTGGATCAGATCATGGTTTGATTCTTTACACTAACATTTAAGCAGCCGTCATGTGTATGCTCTTAGTTCGTCAGTATATATGGTTTTCACCTGAAAATATATATAGTTTGGCTGAGGATCTTCGTACTTATGATAATTGGCAAAGATTTAATTCCGTGCATATAGTGTCTTTGTTTATACTCCAGAACTCTATCCTGCCACGTGCTTCCTAGTAGTGTAAAAATCCAAACTTTGGTTTGGGTTAGTGTTCTGATCAACTAATTCCTATGAAGAAAATCTTATAAGTCTAATAAGCGTGGTCTTTCTGATACAAAAAAACTGCAATCTTCCTAATACTGTGTAGTTTTTAATAAACAGGGCTACTAGCACTGACTTATTGCTTGTAATATTCATCGACTTATTTAAACCCAGCTTATTTTGCTTCGTATTATAATTTCTTTCAGGTCTTGCAGTTGAGTAATAGTTTCTGCGATCAGATTGAAGCGTCATTCAAACAACTTTATGTTTAAACAAAAATCTGATGTCAAAGTAAATTTTGGACTGTAAACCATTAAAAAAGCAGACTAGTAATATAGAGATAAGCTTTAACTTGTGTATTTTTCACAACTCATCCTCATTTCGGCCCATCGATTTCGGTATTTCGTTTCCGACCATCCGAACTTCTGAATTATGTATATACTAAGTATCACGCTGCTAATTAGTATTACTAACATTGTAGTTTAACGGTCAATGCTTCCGGCTTACCACCATTTCATTTTCTAGTTCGGTTTAGTAGTATCATTAGGTGTAAGGCAAAAACTGTACTTTTAAAAATCACCTTATAATGCCAGTTTTCTGTTCTTGTCACCTTTTATTAGGAAATAAAGTCTGGTCAAATTAACGAAGATATCTCAGGAACCAATTATGTTCAAGTACCTGATCAAAAGTTATCAGAGAAGAAACGAAAATTATCAATAGATACTTCAGACTACCAACCACTTGTTAAACGTGCCAGCTGCAATGAGGTAAAAGTTTCGCTTCCGTTTGTTTTTATGCTTGTCTCTCAAACTGCTTATCTTCAACGACCAGTATTTCATTGTCATGCACCACTCTTACTATCCGATTAGTGATACCGCGGTGAACCTGCAAAATTCAGCCTCATACATAGTATTAAACGCCTTATTCCTATCAAATGTAGAAAGCTGTTTTATAACATATTCCAGTCATATTGCTTATTGTCAGTCTTTTAACTTTCCTTCGCGCAACGTCAAAACAGTCGTAAAATATCTGAAATTTTCATGGATAGTATTCTGATCTCGGCCTCATCGAACTCTCCTTACGACGTGAAAACAATTCAAACTTTCTCCTATCTTGGTTGTTTGGAATACCACACCATTTTACGGTAACGGAGAGTTTACAACTCTACGGTGCCTTTAATTATAGGTATTACTTGGCAAAATACATACCTTTCATCACTCAAAAACGGCGACAAGTAATTATATGTAACATTGAAATGGTCTCTGGAAATTTGGTGTTGGTTTACTGAAGTTCAGTGTACCTAGTTCCCATCATCTTTACAATCGGATTTTTATTTGGCTTCTTCAGTCTCACAATACCTGACCTGATATAAATGTTCATCACCTCAAGTAATGACATCAACATACCACTATAAAATTATGAGTGAATAGCAAAGAAATGAAATCAAATATTATAAGAAACATTATACATCATGAGTATAAAGTATAAAGTAGGATTGAACCTCGTGTTTTAAAGGAAGATAAATGTCTCTGCACCACTGAAACCTATTCTAAGTCGTTCTTTGACCTCACCTACTTAATCAATAGTTCAGTGTTAATTCGTATTCTACATACATACATATGCGTTGCTTAGCTCCACTTTTATTTCCTAGTTACGTGTTTTCGAATGATTAGTTTCATCTACTCGAAAGAAGAACCGATGGTCGTATTCTGATAATCCATTACTGAAAACGACAACTGTAGAACTAGAAAACTGATATAACTCATACATTATGTATGTGTCAGTTTACAACACTGCTACATTATTTCAAAAGCTTAGCAAAGGTCTCTGTCTGAGGATGTAAGTTTATTTACTGGCTTTAAACTTGTTATATGATAATTCAGAAACTACACACTGACATTGTTTTACTCAACAACGGGTTGTGTGATCGAAATCGATCATAATGAATTTTTGTTTAATAGGTTGGCGTTAGCAAACTTGAAACTGTGAGTCAACCTAAATAATGATTAAAATTGTAGCCACACATTGTAGTGGTTTAACGTCTTTCTATTGGTGCTATCTAACGAATATTTTTATTTTACAGACAAGATTGATTTCAGAACAAAGTCATCTGGAAGATGATGCATCATCTAAAGATGAAAAGTTATTGAATTTAACTATGTCTCTATGTCATGCTCCAACTTCAGCACCGTCCCCTACTAATACTACGAAATCTCCTAGCTTTGAGTCAGCTACTTCTGTTCCCGATTCACCAACTGCTCCACAACCAAATATTGTTAATAACAACAATAATGCAATTGCGAGCAAATCTCCGTTAGGTGACATAACAAATAGACTGAAAACACCCAGTCATTCCACATTTTCATCTGAAACTCAAATAAAACACGTCCCAAGACTTCCAGTTCTCGCAACTGATAAAAGATTTACTTCCCTCGAGAATAAAACCAATAATACGTATGGAAAGTTTCGCTTATTTTCATCTACTGAGAAATTAGGTGGCGTTTCCAGACTCAATTCTTTAGTTCATTCTGTTCACGCACCAAAACCAAGAACAGGTAAGCCTACAATAGTTTTTGTTTATATCGGGTTAATTAATTTTGATCTTTCATTTTTCTGTAAGAATCTTGCATGTTTTATACAAATAGCATCAGTTGTGTTAAAATTTTTTTCTAAATATTCTAACCGGCAGGTTTAAGTTCATTATTTCAACCCAGCAGGACTCATATACGTCATAAGGTAATTCGATCAACATTATAAGAATATTGAGCAAAATAAATAAATATAGGGCTTAGTATTTTGTCTTTCACATTCACCTAAAAAGTTCCAAATGAAACAAAACTTATATTGAATTCCACCCAATTTACTCCTGCAAGCTGTACTCAATTATTTGCTAGCAATCCTTTTTAACTTAGAAACTCTTTCAGCCAATCGAGGCGAAAAGTTTGGCGCAAGTCAGTCAGTCAGATGCAACGTAGAACTTTCGTAGGTTATTAGTATTCGATTACAAATAGAATGATATAGTCGATCATTAATCTTTTTGATTACTGCTAATACTTCTACTACCTCTACTACTATGGGAATTTCAGTCAGTCAGTCAGATGCAACGTAGAACTTGGTACGGAAGTACATCAGTTCATGTTGCCATACCACATCAGCACAGAGATATAATTTTCAATTCAAATCCAATGGTAGAAGAGTTAGAAAGGGTATTAGAAGTAATCGGAGAGATTAGGATGAGAAGATATTATTCAAGAAGTATGCTTAAATGAGAAAAGTTTCGAAAGTCAAAAGTAGAGGGGTTGAAGAACCCAGAAGATTAGGATTTGAGAGAACACAAAGAATAAATGCACATGCGCCATTGCAAACGATTTTGAGTCATGTCATTTAAGGTCTCTTACCATCGATTATTATCATCTCGCGGACCCCAACCAGGTAGTCGACAATTACCGACATGGCTAAGTCCACTCGTCAATGACTTCATGGAATCCTGCCATGTTTTGGTTTGGCCGTCCCTAGCTTTCTTCCAACCTTTTCCTACATTACGAAACAAAGCTCGTCGAGGCAATCGGTGGTTAGGCATACGCAGCACATGTCCCAACCACCTCAACTGATGAAGTTTCAGCACTTCATCTATTGATCTGCCACTCTTACCTAGCACCCGTTTCCTAATAACAGCGTTGCTCACTCGGGTGTCCCACGATATACGAGCAATGCTTCGAAGACACCTATGATCGAAAACCAATAACCTACGAATATCTTCTACTCTCACTGGCCATGTTTCACAGCCATAAAGTAAGACGGAGCGAACCACTGCGCAGTACACTCGTCCTTTAGTCAGCAAACGGATATCTCGCCTACGCCATAAGTGACGCAGGTTGGCAAAAGCCGATTGAGCCTTCTGTATCCGTGCCGAGATTTCGTCAGTCACCAGCACTGATGAGACTCCCAAGATAAGTGAAGCGGTCTACACGTTCGACCACTTCACTCCCTATCACTAGTTCAGGTGCCGATGAAACCCAATCTTGAAGCAACATTTTGCATTTCGAGGGGGAAAACCGCATCCCGAACATGCTTGCATTGTTGCTTAGGGTAGTCAGAAGACTCTGCATTTTGTCAGCGTCTTCACCAAGTAGGACAATGTCATCGGCATATTCTAAGTCAATAAGCGAGCCACCTGGTAGAAGGTCTACTCCTGAAAATTCAGACGAGGATAATGTTATGTCTAGGAGCATGTCTATGATAAAATTAAACAAGAATGGAGAAAGTGGACATCCCTGACGGACACCACTTGAAGTAGAGAATTCCGGTGACAGTTCGCCATAAGCTCTCACTCGACCAGTGGTGTTGGAGTAGAGAGCTTGTATGAGGTTAATGTACTTCTTTGGTACACCTTTCAATGACAGACACTGCCACAGAACCTCACGATCCACTGAGTCAAATGCCGCCTTAAGGTCCAGGAAAACAACTATTGTAGGACGCCTAAATGTGTGTCTGTGTTCCAGGACCTGTCGTAGTGTGAAAATGTGGTCTATACAACCACGTCCAGGTCGAAAACCAGCCTGGTTTTCTCGAGTCTGCTCTTCACGAGCTTTCGTTAAGCTTCGAAGTATTACTGAGGCCAATATTTTAGATACTATATTAGTTAGACTTATTCCCCTGTGATTGTCACAAGAAGACTTTTGTCCTTTCTTATAGATTGGGACAATCAGTGATTGAAACCAGTCGGATGGGATTACGTCCAGTTCCCAGATCTCGGTCAACCTAGTTGCTAAAACTGGACCACCATCCTTAAATATCTCAGGGGTCAGTCTATCAGGACCTGCGGCTCGCCCTCGCTTCAGATTTCCTAACGCTTTCTCAACTTCATTAAGACTAGGGGAACTTACGACGATTTGCCATTCAGAATGACTGCAGATCGTGGGTAACCGAAGAGTGGCTCGAGGCCAATTAAACTGATCCCTAAAGTGTTCTGCCCATCGATTCAGTCTCCTGGATTGAGAATAAATAATAGTCCGATCATTTTCCGAGATAGTCTCACTTACACTAGGATTCCTATTATTATCATTAAGTAAAACTCTAAGAGGCTTACTTACGGTGTCTTTCCTACCCCCAGTAAGCCTCAAACAAATACGCGCTCGCACTAGGGCATGATCTGAATCTAAATATGTGCCCCAGAACGAGCGACAGTCTTCTATCGAACCCCTCCATTGGTGGCTGATGGCGATGTGATCTAGTTGAGTCCAACATTGAGACAAATTAGGGGGTCGCCAGATCAAGAGGTGCTTTTCCTTATGCCTAAAGTTAGTGTTCGCTAAGAATAGGCGGTTATCTGAGCATAGTTGCTACAGACGGTCGCCATTGTCTGTTATCTGAGCTGCGACACCATAACATCCACCTAGGTGTCTTTCATTTTCACTCAGTCTACCTACTTGAGCATTAAAGTCACCAGCCATTATTACTATACCAGAGCGCCTAGCTTTTTGGAGGAGGTCCGAAAGCTTTCTGTAAAATTCATCTTTAACCCCGTCTGAACTGCAGTCAGTGGGGCAGATATGACAAAGAGGCAACGGCGAGTGTCCCTATCCATCCTAGTCCTTACTGTCCCGTTTAGTCGGACAGCGCACAAGCGACTATCTACTGGGATCCAGTCAAGGAGAGATTGCTCAGCTCTACGACTCAATGCTATGCCTACACCAGCGAGACCCGTGGAAGCAGCATCAGGGCTACCGGATACACGAAGAGTAAATCGAGCTGCTTCTTTATTTTGACAAGGTGAAATCAGGTTAATGACTTTACTAGGATACTGTATGCGCATTTCCGAGACGCAGCACACATCGATGGCACGAGATTCTAAAGTCCTAGCTAATGATGCCTGTTTCCCTATTTGACACAAAGTCCGTACATTAAAAGCTCCAACATGTAGTCTAGAACGGGGTTTCAAGAGACCAGGAACGACGTTTCGTGAACTCGCTTCGTCTGCATTAGCGGTGCAGTGAGAAAAGGGAGTGTGAGTAGAGTTAGTCGTAGAGATAAGAGAGATATTAGCTGGGTGTAGGAAGGATTTGATTTTGACCAATTTGGTCTCGCGTGCTGTTGCGGGTATGAGGGTGGTTGTCACTTCCCGGCTGCCCACACCGTGGAAGGTTGTTTCTTGACGAACCTGAAAAGAAAGATAGATTAGTGTTGTTGCGTGACCGCAGAGCCCAAGGGACAACTGCTTGAGGCCGGTCATGCACGGCCTTGTTATGAAACTTTTTTGAGTATTAGCTCCGCTCTTAAAGGCCCTTAGTGGGCACCCTTACCGACGGAGACGGAAATCCATGAGGTAGGGTGGGGTATGACATTTTTAGGGTCGACCTTTTCTAACCCTTTCTTCCTTGTGAGCAGGCTGCAGATGCTGGTTGTCCGAGGGAAACACCTTACTGCTGTCACACCCCTCTGCAGTCAGCAGTACGACTTTGCCCTCAGACCTTGGGTAGCTACATTTAGTCTCGTCGTTCTCCAATCGACCAGCCTGGCATGGTAGGACCTTCAGGAACATATGTTCCAGCCAGTATAGCTCGGTTGGGTCATCACGATAGGCAAGCCCGACCACCACTTCAAGGTAGCAGCTATGGTCGCAAGTGAAACAATCTGTGAGGCTGATCGGACACGAGTAACATCTAAGAACGTCCTGGACGACGGACAGTCCTTCGAGCCAGTCCAGCGTGTCTGCAGACCGGCTATATCGATTAAATTGTTTTGTCTTCTGTGGGGGGTGGTAACTGATTCCCTTAATGAGGTGGAAGTTCACAAGGAGCCATAGCTCTTAAAATGACGTACCTCCAGCCCTTTTTAAAGATGGTAGCAACCTTCTGACTATGCAACCGGCTAAGTTGTTTACAACCTTTGGGCAATTAGTGTTCTGATATTGCGAAATCAATCGATGGTTATCCCTACCTTTAAAAGAGGTTCGCTTCATTTATGTAACAACTGTCAAAAAATCAGTCTGCTTCTGAGTGCGTCGAAATTATTGGCTTCCGTCATACTTCCTAGAATGTTCAAAACCCAAGAAGGATTAACTCTCAAGAAGCGGGCTGGCATTCTTTGTTATCGGATTGTATTGGTCATATCTTCGCCCTCTGCCAAATTTTAGAACACCGCCACACATCGTAGGCCAACAGTTGTGTTTCTTGACATCAGGACCGCCTTCGACTCGTTGCTCAAGACTGTTCTCTGGGATTGTCTATTGAAAAAGTGCCTGAGAAGTTTAATAACATCCTTAAGACCTTATATACAAACAACTCAGGCAAAGTGAGGACATACAACCACCTCACTCCATTGTTTCATCCAATCATTTGAATCATGCAGGGCTGCACAATCTCACCATCCCTCTTGCCACCGATGACGTTCTGGAAACAGCCCAGATGTATGTAACTAAGAGTAGTGTGGATCTGTTACCTTGAGGAAGACTTTTCAACCTTGAGTATGCGGACGATTTGTGCGAAGATTCCCAAGCCATTCAGTCTGCACTTAATCATTTGGCAATCAGTGTCCGTATGTATGAAATGTGCTTTTCACTTTCTGAGTGCCAAGTACCTTACAAGACTGACAGGATCCTTAACCTGCACTCGTTGTTGGTAGTTTGCAATCGGAAATAGTCGAGAGATTCTCGTTTCTGGGTAGCTGTGTAAGTGGAGTGAGTGGTAAGACTGATTCATGTATAATGAAAACCAAAGCGGCTTATGCCGATCTGGACCATTTTTGACACCGTGATGTTAGTATGACTGTAAACGGTTAGGTCTAAAATAAGCCAGTGGGAGCAGTTTTCTTCTATGCTTGTGAAACCTTGCCTCTCCGCGTTAGGGATATTAAACAACTCTGTTTTCGATCATTGTTGTCTCTAAAGAGTCGCCAACATTCGGTGACAGGTTTGGCAACGTTTGTTCGGACATAGCATCAATTATTTGATTGATATCATCTTGAAACATCGATTTCGGTGGCTCAAATATGTACTACGAATGTTGTCCCTGTGAATTCCACACCTTGCACTAATTGCCGAGGCTGGGACTAGTTGAAAAACCCGGAAAGGTAGTCATTGTATGATATGGTATCATGGTATGACACAAAGCTTCACAACTACATAGTTAGTGTCCTAGAGGTAGTGCAGCTCAATGACTTAAGACATCAAACTTAGCTCAGAGTATAAACCAGTGGCGGTCCACGTCACTTTCATTGTGTGACTCACATACATTTTAGTTCCTCCTATCAATAATGTGTGTATATAAAATAACTCAACCATTTATCATTATTTCAAAAATCCATTAGGGGCTATAAAAAATTAGTTATATAAAGCAGGTTTAAAGCAACTTGTTTTTCTAATTTGACTATCCATTTACGTACAATACAATCAAAGCTATAATGACTTTGGAAAATGCCTGTACGTTTACTGATATGGCTTTTACTGTGACTAGGAAAAACTATTTGCTACTGGATAATGGAAACAAAAGACTGTTATTAATTGACGTAAAGTAAGATTACAGATATAGATACATTTATGCACCATCTGCTGATTCCAACTGTTCAAAATGTACGATAAAATAAATTTCGAATGTAATGATATTTTACTATTTGAAACTGATCAGTCAGTAATTCATTGTAAGTATACAATCTACAATATCAACAGAGTAACTACATTGACTAACAAATGCAACCAAATTAGTGTTATTTATTTTTTTCCTCCCTAATAAAATCCAATAAACGTACCTGGAAAATATCTGAATCAGATTTGAATGCACAAATAAAATCTTAATCATAGTCATCCCATAAACTTGTCTCAACTCCTAGTGTAATGTCTACGAACATTTAACATACGGCGCGTACCTACGCCTTTATGTATCTGATAGGCACATATAAACTACCAATAGCGTGATAGAATTTTCAAAAGAGGGAATTTCAGCTTACGATAGTTCCCATGTCGCAAAGGATGCACTGAAATCACACACGACGTTCAGTGATGCCATTCGTTATTGGTTCCACTTCACGTCTGCAGCTTGAAGATGCAAATGTTAGTCCATATATTTTATTTCTTTACTGCTTTTGTTAAGAGGTACCAATTCTTAGGCCGTAATGTAGTCATACCATGCAGTTGAATAAATCGGATTAAGTTGATTTCATATAATTTTTTTCGGGGTATTTATGTCATTTTCGTCGCTCTTCCATAGGTTCAAGATTAAATTCTATCAACGAAAAAGTATCCGTTAATTCATCTTCAATTGGTTACTCTAATAAACAAAAAAATCCACCCAGTTCCGTTCTATCTGAGAAGGAACAGCGAATAGAAGCCAAAAGACGCGTTTTCATTGAACAAATGGAGAAAAGAGAAGAGCGTTTGCGAGCTTTCCAGGATGCTAAAAAGCAAAAAATGGAAGCTCGTAAAAAGGCAAATGAAGAACGTTTTCTTGCCGTTCAGCAACGATATCAACAAATGCTACAAGGAAATCATCTTCAGGTAAAAGTATGTTTCCAATAATGTGTCTGTTAAACTGCTAGGATTATCTTATCGCTTTTGTCATCTTTACCCTTTTTCAATGGAGATTTCGGAATTTCCTGGCCAAAGTAATAAATAGACTCCTCATATATTACGTTCATATTTCAGGGAATAGTTGGGCTGTTCTAATACTCCAGTAACGTCGGCCAGACTGTCCTGTACTATATAATCAGTGACGATCAATCCACCTAACGAGGCAGAGGCGTGCAGAGAGCTCTAACTCACGAAGCCCTTAAAATCGCTAGGTTCAGACGATCTAACCTCAATTATTTTCGAAGAAAGTGGCGTACTTCTGATTAGGTTGTTTGGAAAGGTTTGATATACAGAGTCCGAACATTCTGGAATGAAACGATTGTTGTCCCCATTCTTAAAGAGGACATATATTATGTATGTAACAACTTATTTACATCTTGGAAACTCCGTACATAAAGTCCAACAGAGTGAAGTCTTGAAGCCACTTCTCCTCATAGTTTCATTTCAACAGTGGGATTAGGCAGTTTCCCAATATCACTGTACACCAACAGTGCCATCGACGATATCCGAAAAACAGCTTTGATTGAAGTAGACGATGAGATTGGAAACGACTTTTTTTGCTTGGCAGTTTTTCTCAATATTAGTTTAAGTATATAATTGTAGAACTTGAAGGAAATTTTTTAAGAATATTCTTTGTTCATACATTAGTGTTTTAATATGATGAGGCTTTTTAAGTAGTTATAAGAATTGATCGTTTAGAACAGTTTGAAAAAGAGTAAGTATGCCCTAAATTTAACTTAAATTACATAAACTAGAACGTTGCTAAATATTTGTCCAGACAAAATAAAGTAATTTACCTCCTTTAAAGCTTGGCCTATGAGCTAGGATTTGTTAAATAACGTTTTTTTCACGCCATGTAACTGGAACCCGAACCATTTGTCCTCTCTAGACCTCCTAGACTCAATCAGCGCGTCAATCCTAGCTTTTCGCATTTCACACGCTTAAAATACTGTGAATTCTTATTGTTAATGTGCTAATTATTATCTAACACATTCCAAACACATATTACGACGATTTAACATACATCCAGTTTGACTGCATAGAACAGTGTATATTCTGATGGTTTTGTTTATTCGATTATCAAAGCATGATGCTTCACAACTTACTCCACTTATGCTAGTACACTATCAACATTTAATATGGAATACAAGTTGTACAATTTCACAGTTGATAAAAAATGTAACGAAAATATTTTTGTTGGATTTGTTTCAGGAAAACAATACTTCAGTTAATTCCGTCCAACCGCATAACGTTAGTGCAAAACCATTGCAGACTACGACTCTACCCAAAAAGTGCATTGTAAATTTAAATCCTGTAGATCATAATACGTTAAAAGTACAATATAAACCTGTCACAACAATTAAACAACCCCAACTGAACAGCTGTCCGAAACCTCAACCAATTTCTAAACTCAACGTAATCCAACCAACAAAACAACCACAAACTCAAGAGAAAGTAATCACAACTCAAAAACTATCACTGATAAACAGTCCAGTTATCAAGTTAGTATCTCTCTCTCTCTCTCTCTCTCTCTCTCTATATATATATATATATATATATATATATATATATATATATATAACTTCAAACGTTATCGTTAATAGATTTTAACTGTTTTCCAATCTATATCTTTTCATATAATTTTAGTGAATCTTTCGATATATCACAGTTAAATTCTGATTCGGAATCAGAAGATGATGAACTAAACCTGAAAGTTCCTAGTTGGTGTCGTAAAGGTATTAGCTTATATTTCCATTTCTTTATCGATGTTTTAATTTATTTTTTGTATTTCTTCATTTACGTTTTTACTGTGATGAGATGGTTTGTCATTGGTAAATGAGGTCACCGCAACAATTAATTAGTCCTACCAGCTAAATCAGTTACAGCACCTAGCACAATAATGTTTCGGCCACAGATGCGGACTGTTTAAAAACGGCGGTTTGACCGTAAACGTAATAGTTTTTCGATATTTTCTCAGTTAGTCAGCTGCAACAACGTAGCAATCCATACGTGTGTACATACATCAGTTCAGGTTGCCATACCACATTAGTACAGAGACGCAATTGTCAGTTCAAATCCCATAGTAGTAGAGGTAGTGAGAGAATTAACAGTAATCGAAGAGATTAGGGTTCGAAGATATTATTCAAAAAGTATAATCCAGTGAAATGAACTTAAAGAAAACAGATAAAGGTGATGAGGAATTCAGAAGATTAGGATTTCAAAGAATGCACCTGCCCCATTGCAGACGGTTTTGAGTCATGTCATTCAGGGTCTCTAACCATCGATTATTATCATCTCGCGGACCTCAACCAGGTAGTCGATAACTACCGACATGACTCAGTCCACCTGTCAGTGACTTCATAGATTTGTGCCATGTCTTGGTTTGGCCGCCCCTAACTTTCTTGCAACCAACTCCTGCATCACAAAACGTCGCTCGCCGAAGCAGTCAGTGGTTAAGCATAGGCAACTTATGTCCCAACCACCTCAACTGATGAAGTTTCAATACTTCATCTATTTAATTGCCATCCCTACCTATTACTCGTTTCCTAACAACAGCATTGATTACTTGGCTGTCCCAGGACACACGAATAACGCTTCGGAGACACCTTTAATCGAAAACAAGCAACCTACGAATATCCTCAACTCTTACCAGCCATGCCGGTCACAACGACCCTAGGAGCGTGACTGCAGAGCCCAAGGGACAATGGCTTGAGGCAGGTCAGGCATGGCCTTTTTATGAGACGTTTTTAAATTGTTAGCTCCGCTCTTGTTTAAAAGGACTTAGCGCCAGTGACAGAAATCTGTGATGTAGAGTGACATGTGACATTTTTGGGGTCGACCATTTATAACCCCCTCCTTCCTCATGAGAAGGCAGTATCGCTGCAGATGCTGGTTGTCCGAGTGAAACACCTTGCTGGTGTCACGCCTCTTTACAGTCAGCAGTACGACTTTGCCCTCAAACCTTCAGTAGCTGTTTTTAATCTCACCATTCTCCAATCCACCTGCAAGGCATGGTAGAACCTACAGGAACATATGTTCCGGCCAATATAGCTCGGTTGGGCCATCACGATAGGCCCGACCACCACGTCAAGGTTAGCAGCTACGGTTGTGTTCGAGATTTTCTACTTAAATCGGGTTAATATTAGCAGCTTTCCTGAACGTAATAAATAGATAAGGTATTCTAAACCCTTAAAACACTAACTTTTGTACTAACTAGTTAGTATTCATCAGCTCGTATTTGTCCTGCCAGTGTGTCAATGAGAACAACTTATTCTACAGAATCTTACTAATCTTCCTTGTAGTGTTGCGTATGCTTATGTACGATGAAATAATAAAAGTATTAGGCTAGAGTATGTAAATAACACTCTTTTACTTCCAAAACAATAATAATCTGCAAATTTTGTATTTATAAATCACTAAATGCAAAATATATGGCTAACTTATCGTTTTTAATCTTATTTAAGGAAATCCTGAAATGATAGCAGCAATGTCGGATGTTTATTCAAATAAGCTAAAATGGCAAAATGAATTCCTACCTGCATCAATGATAAATTTTGATATTGCTGATGTGTTCCGTAATTATCAGTATACAGTTCGACCACGTACAAGTAGCGGTATATGGAATACTTCTCCTGGTGCTTCAAAGAGTTCTGTTGGTCGTTCGATTTTTAAGAAGATAACTTCATAATACATACTGAGCTCTCAAAAACTTGTACATCCCCTATTTTATTAACATCTAATTGTGTTGTACTCTTGCTTATATCCTACTTCATTAACTTTGTTTTTATTACTTATATTAAATTATTCGATATATGTATGAATCCAAGTATGCATAATCCATCCAGCTGTTAAAAACTAAACCTAATTGTATATTTATGTTAAGATTTATTAGTTATCTTATTTGAGTTATTTTCTGAATGATAGAACGGTATATATGTAGTGTTACTCGGTGTTGCATTATTGGCTTACTGGCGTGAATTGCAAACTTCAGCGGAACGCTCACTAAGTAATTCGAAATAATCAATAAAAGTATCCTTTTGACCAACTACTAATGTTTGTTAACATGTTAACGAAGCACAAGTCTAATGAAAGCGATTTTGTTACAGAGTTATAGAGATTCTTATTTTGCCTGAAATCATGAGTCGACCATTGTTGGGCGCTAATTGTCCGGCTAATGCGTAAAACTTGGCTAAAATGAGTTGTAGGTAGTCCTGACAGAGCTTATTATTTTCATTCCAGTAGATTGGAACGATGGGCAGAACACTTTAGGGGTCAGTTTGATTGGCCTTCAGCCACACTTCGGTTGACCACGATCTCCAGTTATCGTGAATGGCGAACCGACATAAGTCCTCCTAGTCTTTACGAAGTTAAGAATACGATAGGAAGTCTGAAGCGGGGTGAACAGCGGGTACTGACCCCTAAGATATTTAAGGATGGTGGTCCAGTTTTAGCAGTAAGATTGACTGAGATCTTATGTAGAATCTGGGTACTGGACGTGATTCCATCCGACTGGTCTCGATCCTGGATTTTCTCAATTAGTAATAAAGGACATGTCCTCTTGTGACAATCAGAGAGGAATCAGTCTAATATGATTTTTAAATTGTTAGCCACGATTATACTTCGCCGCATAACTAGAGCCCGTGAAGAGCAAACTACAAAAAACCAGGCTAGATTTCGACCAAATATTCACTCTTCGTCAGGCCTTGGGACATGGACACGCATTTCAACGTCCCTCTATAGATGTATTCCTTAACCTTAAAGCGGCATTTGACTCTGTGGGTCGTGAGGTTCTGTGACAGTCTGTCATTAAAAGGTGTACCAGAGAAGTACATTAACCTTACGCTGGCTCTCTACTCAGTCAATCAATCGAAGGAATATAAGAGAGTTATTAGGAAGTGTATGAAGGATTTGATTCTGACCGATTTGGTCTCCTGTGCTTTTACGCGCTCTCTACTCGAAAACTACAGGTCGAAATTCTTTACTTCAAGTGGTGTCCGTCAGAGATGTCCACTCTCTCCATTTTTGTTTAATTTTGTCATAAATATGCTTCTAGATATAACATCTTCGTCAGACTTTTCAGGAGTGAACCTACCAGGAAACACGCTTGATGCCTTAGAGTATGCTGTTCTGACTACCAACAGCAACTTAAGCCTTTTCAACAAATCTCGGTGGGACGTATGTCTTTCAGTGTTTACATAGCTATACCATACGCAAAAAACTAAGTAATAGATCCACAATTAATGAAAAATAACTTTAGGAAGGAAAAAGCAAGAGCATAGGCACTAAACGAGTGCTCACAAATAGAAGGATATTAAAGTACAGTCATTAAAGTATCTCATAATTATAGTAGAAATATGAACGATGGTACTCAGTAAGATAGTTCCAAAGGTCACAGTTCATAATATTTGCTCCGCTCCAACAATTCCCGTTGTAAGGTGATATCACACATGGTTTCGTTCTACAAATTAAATAGGACAGTAACCAGTCAGATCTTAGCAGAAATTTAATAATTTCGAGTCACTAACATTATTCCATAAAGACTGACCGTTGACCAATCTTAGCAGAATCGGTACATGATTACATACTGCTATTCGTTTTCTATAAACGCTACGGACGTTCACATTAACGCATTTGGATTATCCTATAATGATCGTTATGATGCTGAAATAAAATTTATCGAGTTTGAATTACCCCAACATTTCGTGATCTGGGATAAAATGGTACGACTGAATAAAAGTTTAGTTCTGCTGTGAATTTCGCAATTCACCATTTGTACATTTTGCCTTTGGTAAGGACATAATTGGGTGTGAAGCAACACCAGGTTTCATCTCTAAAACAGATTTTGTAAAACCACTGGTGGGCTCAGATTTGAGCCCTTTATAACTGCTAGCCAAAAGTTTATGCACAACTTGACCGGCATTCTCATCTCTTTCTTGCCCGTAGTACCACAAATTGCGCCAGTAATATCGACTTTGGGATTTCTAAGTAGAATAGTGTCAGACTAACTGGACAGCATTCATAATTTTGTCATGAATTCAAAAGGTCTTTTAATAAGTTGCTGTAACAAGTTCTATTTGTTTCGAAGCAAAATACGCTATGTTCTCTTGTATGCGCTTCAAATCCTTCGCTAGTAAATGTGGACTTAAAATGAAATCATATTTTGTGTGCTTGCTGGTAGCAGCCTTCTAATACATCGTTTAAGCATCACGACAGACGCCGTTGGTGATGATTGAAGCTTAATCGACTGTATCACCTACCTATTCCAAACAACTGGAGTCTTCTGTCATAAAATCTACAATGATTCATTGTCATTATTATTGAAATGACTTCATCCATTGATCGAAAATATTTCATTTTAGAATGCCATATTAGTTGTAATTATGTTTAGTCAACAAATAAAGTTTGAAACACAATTCGTTTTGTTATATTTTACAAACAATAAAAAATAATGTTAAAATTATAAGATCAACCTAAAAGCTTAAAATGAAGACTATAAAAATACCAAATCCAACCGTTAAATAAACAGACATTAGGAAAGTACATACTGAACTTTCTAAAGTTTACTCAATGTCTTATATTAACATATTCCTACAAATATTTACAGTATATCTTTGTATGAAAATATTTTTTCAATAATAAATAAATTTTTTTGTTCAGTTATCTTATCTGTTTTGGAAATGAACTATAGCTCAGCAGAAGCAATATCTTAGTCAAAAAATATTTCAGTTATACATCTGATCATGAAAAATAAAGATAGATAGTAGTGACAGACTGTATTGACTTCATTAAAAAAAGCTGCACATTTAACGAATTTATTAAATGTTGAAAAAAAGCATTTCACAATTGAATGCAGTTATTAGTCCACTATAGTTATTCTAGTGAACAGTAAAACGATGAATACACTTATGTGATTTGAAAACAGCTACATAACAAAATTTTAATCATTTCACACTAATTATGTATTCAATTTTTATAATCGATGACATGTGTCAAGGTGATAAGAACATAGATAGTTATAGAGGCGAGTTTAAAACAAACGTAATAAATTTTACGTTATTTTCAGTGAATCAGAAAACGGTTTTTTTTAATGAATTTATTTCCGGAAAATATACTAAATGAAACTGCAAAGAGTTGATAGATTTTACATAAGAAAAATGAATCTGTTGAATGGAGGATTCGAATCAGGCATAAAGTGGTTGGAATTAGGGATATGGTTGATCGGGATACTGTAAACACACTACAAAGAAACAATCGAGAATTGAATATGTTGAACACTATTCTATAACTATACAAAATAATGTTTTGAGAACTATGTAATTGTGCTTCGACTGCTGGATTTACATGATATTAGATATTTAGTTTTGAAGTCAGCGTATAAACCTAAGTCCTTTTTCAGAAGTGATTATTTCGTCTTTAAATTATACTATATTTTACAGAAAATTGTAAATGAATGTAAGTATTTTCAAATTTCAGAGTAAATGTTAAAATTGTTCAATTACATTTCATTATAAAATACAATAAAAATGTACTAAACACAATAGTTAACAAAAATAATGGACAGTGTGTAGGTGGTTGAGGTCTACATGCATAATAATTTGATGTTTTTTCAGGGTGGTCGTTTGTGTTAATTCTACTTCTAAATTCTTCTACAACTTGATCCGGTCCATATCGATATGATTTATATCTATTGAATTTCTGGTTTCGTGCATATAACGTACGAGCACGTTGGAATTCATCATCAAAATTTGTTAAGTTCTACATTTGAGAGAAGATTAAAAATAAATTTGAAAAATTTCATGTAAAATTTATTCTCCGAGTGACAATGATTCATAGAAATATTACACGATAATCTCACATATTTATACATAATTTACAAATAATAAAAACATTTTGAAACATACATTCGTACAGTAATATCATGGAAGATGAAAATATTATTCGCTTTTGGGTTATACTGTGATTAGTAATATAAACGGATTAAGCGGACAAAAAAGGATAAATAATCTAGGGGAACAAGATATACAAACAGAGAATTGATGGACTAAGGTCACTATTCGGACTCTGTGACCTACTAAAAAATAAATTAAACTTTGTGACACCTACACGTCCAACCTACTGATTCTAACAAATCAAACACTGATGGAGCACTGAGTACCAGAGATAGTCTGGTTCTATTGATCAAACTAGACAATCACGATATTCCACGGTACTAAAAGATCAGTGTGTTTTGATCGTATGAAAGGTAAGAAGCGATCCATATAACTCGCCAGTAACGGCTCACACTGTAAAACTAGGTGAAGCGGATCTGAATCCCTCGAGAAGTTGAAGTCTCCTTAAGGTCATAGGTACGACTACCAACTAACATCAACAATCTCGAACCACGACTTACTTCCTTACGCCGGTTACCCCGGCCGCCGACCAGCATTCTCCAACCTACTCTGTCCTAGGCCTTCCTTTCCAGTTCTATCCAAATTTTGTTCATTCTTCTCATGTCTGTCTCCATTTCGCCTTTCCTTGGCCTTTCTCTTTTACGTTGACCTTGAAGGTTCCGCGTTAGGACTTGTCTAGTGACTTATTTCGATGCTTTTCTTAATGTGTATCATATCCACTTCCAGAGCTTCTGCCTCCACTGCAATCTGGTTTGTTCTCCTCCATAGTAGGTTACTGCTGATGGTGTCTGGCAAAGGGATGAGGAGTATCTTGAGTAGAAAATTATTAATACACATTTCTATCATATGGATGGTCTATTATCTTCACATACATCTGAGTTTGCTTATGTTCAATTTGGTTAAGCCCTTTTGATTAACCCATTTAAAAGACTGAGTCATTCGGATAGTAATAACTTATATGCACCATTGATTTTATTATTGTCGGGTTTGTATGAGCAGATACGACTGAACATTGCTTACCGCCTACGTGCACATTCATTATATTCGCATTAATATTAGCCTGTTAAATAACTCCATAACTCATTTCATTTTCCTAAGCATATATATGTATATTTTTATTCTATTCACTGATTCGCTTAATCTTCGAAACTCGCATATCATCTAGTTTCGTGTGCTTGTGGTCTTGGTAGTCTGTTTATGGTCCGGCAATAAACGCGTTCCATACTTCGTATTCGTCTTTTGATTTATAAACTGTTGGGCGTTATTTAGTAACGGTTGTACTGGACGAGCAGTACAATACACGAAATCTAAGAATATATCGAGTACCGAACACCACAAAACTGTTGAGACACCGGTCAAAACAATAGTAGTTCTCCAACTATCCGCTCCATACAGCAGAACTGTCTTGACATTTGTACTGAAAATTCCGACTTCCGTGTGGGTTGACAGTCGTCTTGAGTTGCAGATGTACTTCGGTTGTAGAAATGCTGCCAAGATATGTAAAGGTTTCCAAATCCTCCAAAGCTCCTCCGCCAAGTGGGATTTGGTTGGTGCATGTTGTGTTGTATCGGAGAATCTTGCTTTTCCCTTCGCGCATGTTGAGGCCTACTGCTGCAGAGAATGCTGCTACACTGGTCGTCTTCTCTTGCATTTGAGGGTGTGTCGTATAAAACAGCCAGATCATCTGCGAAGTCGAGATCTTCCGGCTGCATCCAAGCTGTCGACTGTATCCCGTACTCCTCCCGGAGGCTGACGTCTTCATAATTCAGTCGATCACCAGAAAGAGAGAAAATGAGAGTAAGTAACCTTGCTTGACACCGATCTTCACTACGAACGACTCTATTAGCTGTCCTTCATGCACGATTTCGCAGTTTAATCCACCATAAGAATTCCGTATGATATTGACTACCTACCGTAGTGACGAAGAAGCCTCCACGCTATCAACTGTTTCCTCGAAGTTGATGTAGAGTGGTGAGTTCCATTCAATTGATTGTTCCACAATGAGAGAGTAAAGAGTTTTTGCAGTTACTGCTACGTCTGCTTTCATTACCTCTGCTGGTATATTGTCTGGTCCCGTCGCTTTGCCGCTCTTGATTTGTCTGATCACGCTAATCTCTTTAATTGTTAGTGTGCCAACGCCGACTGGATCTCTTTATGCTGCTTCGATGTTGGGTGAGTTCAGTGTGGCTGTTCGATTCAAGAGTTCCTTAGAGAGCTCTACCCATCTGTTCCACTGTTCTTCAATATCGGTGATTACTCTGCCTTCCTTTCTTTCACCGGACTTTCTGGTTAACGATAAATTTTAGCGAGCTTCTTTGTTGTATCATACAATTAACTCATGCTTCCTTCTAGAACCACAAGCGTGAACCAATATTTCATTCTATGTACAAGGAACTAGAAGAGCTCATCTTCAGTTTACTAATTATCAATTAAAAACTGCTTTAAATATTTAACAACGAAACGAACACAAAGTTAAGCATATTGTAAATTAGTAAAGTTTAATTATAAAATTCCGCTGAATCAAGTGAAGTTATATACGATGAACTTCATTTAGATAAGGCAGAAACCATGTCAATTATGAGACAAATATCATCAACATTAGCGAATCATAGTCATGTGATACTGTGAGCGGATCGAGGTTATAAATATATATCAGTGGTGATCGGAAGGTTGAGTGCTCGTCGTAAAACCTTAAGATCTTGAGGTTAGATTCTCCGTTGAATCCGTGAATGTATGATACTATGATAAAAATAAAATTCAACCTCTACAACTTACATTAGTCCTATTTGGTTGAATCCAACAACTACTTGCTAAATATTGATCATACTGTGATCGAGTTTTCTGATCACGAAGTAATTCATAAGCAGCTGTGATCAAGTGAAATTCTTTATTCTTCAATTTCTCCGGATTAGTATGAAGTAATCGATCTGGATGTAAACATTTTGATAAATTATAATAAGCGAATTTAATTTCTCTAGAAGTTGCAGATTGTTTTACACCTAATACATCATAAGCATTATATTTATCTAATGGAAAACTGGATATTGATCTGATTTGACATAGTTGACGAAATTGAGGACGAAACAATATGCGGCGATTGGATGATAGTATTTTGACGATAATTTGACTGTTGAAAACTATGTAAACATATATGAAGTTGTCGAAAATACAATTTTCATCGTAATACACAGTTGTTTATCACCTGTTTATCTGAAAATTAAAATGCCGAATCTTAATCCAAAATAAAACCATGAAGTGTTACCGAACGACAGCAATAAAAACAGAATAATTAAAATATGAATAAAATCCAAATTTATTTTCCAATATATTCTACAGTGTATTTTTTTCATTAATATCTAACTAAATATATCTACCAAATAAGTACAAGTTTCAAGAATACGATTTTACATCATGCTTTTTATTCAAGGTCTAGTTATACTAATCACATGACCAAATCGAAAGTAGAGGGGGCTGAATAAAATCTCGGAAACAGTTCACAAGTGTAAAATCCTAATAGGCCTCGAATATTGGGTACTTGAAGTGAATGTTAAGAACAACCGGCGTTCAATCCTCGTGCCACCGTAAATCTAAAGTGAGTTCAATTATTTCCTTGAGTGACAATATACTTGTAGTATCCCAATGAGTAGAAAAGCGAAAACATTTTTTACGCTTATGTACTATAGCACACAGTCTTAGCAGGACCACAGTTAAAACAGGCAACTATGTATATAACAAACAATTATAATCTGTTTCGTAAACAGTAAATTAATACAAAATCATCAAATGATACTCAATTACAACAGAGAACAATAAACACACGTATACTGAACAGCAGCATTGACACAACAAAATGAATCAATAACAGAGGGTTAGTCATATTTAAATACCTGATGCAATTTCATGACTGGTAACTCAATGAAAAGGTTCAAAGTAATAACCAATCTGGAATTAAATTAGTCTTAAATGGTGGGCTTCTAACTTAAATATTTTTGGTCGGTTCACTCTATTGATATCAACATCGATACCTAAACTTCCTTGAATAATTTTTAAGCGCTTCAGTTTAGTGACTAATAAAATTTGAACCGGGGAAGATTATAACTTTAATTTGATAAACTCGATCGATCAATTAACCATCAAGATGAAATTAATAACCTATTTGTGTAGAAAACTTATTCACTATCTCAATAAAACGAAACAAAGTCGTTTATTCACTGTGAAAAGCAACAGGTATCTAAATCTTTTTCGGAATGTAAATCTGAAAACTAAACATTCTATAAAAATAGTTCTACTTCACAATGAATTTTCCATTATTAAATTTCCCACCCATAGCTCTTCTCAGAAGCGTGGACTACGGACATTATGAGTAAATGATTTTCAATCACAAGATTTAAAAAAAATCTTAAATGCCGATAGGTCATCTACTTTGGTTTAGATAAATGGGTTAGATAACATAACTGAAAACCGAATATATACTTGGTAAATGATTTATTAGTGTGATAATCAAGAGACGTTATTATAATTTTAATTCTTATTTAACAGGTCTATTTAGTAGGCATATATTATATACTGAATGAATAGTGAAGAAAATAATCAGCTGTTTTTTTGGGCAGAGTTTTGGAGGTTTGTGTTTTTTTTACACATTTGAAATCATCAATCAATCATTGTTAGACCACCATTAGAAACCTGGAAGCTCCGGACGGCCGTTTCGTCCTGGTATGGGACTCATCAGCAGTGTGCATCCACGACTCCTGCACCTCGCGGGATTCGAACACGTGACTTTCGGTATTGTGCGCGAACGCCTTACCATTGGACCACTGGGCCGGCATCCAACGGTGTTAACGTCTAATTCTGATTGATCTAGGGATTTTGCGCGGCCTCACCCATTTGTCTTTGGTAGTTACTGCCTACACCCGACAGGGTTGAACTCGATTGGTCACGTCTTCTCAACTAGAACTCCGAGAATTTTCTCATGGAGCTAGTTACTAGTGAGCATTGGTACGATATTTTGGGGCAGAGTTTTGGAGGTTTGTTTTTTTACACATTTTAAATCATCAATCAATCATTGTTAGACCACCATTAGAAACCTGGAAGCACTGGACGGCCGTTTCGTCCTGGTATGGGACTCATCAGCAGTGCACATTAATACCGTTGGATGCCGGCCCAGTGGTCCGATGGTTAGGCGTTCGCGCACAATACCGAAGGTCCCGGGTTCGAATCCTGCGAGGAGCAGGAATCGTGGATGCGCACTGTTGATGAGTCCCATACCAGGACGAAACGGCCGTCCAGTGCTTCCAGGTTTCTAATGGTGGTCTAACAATGATTGATTGATGATTTCAAATGTTTAAAAAAAATCAGCTGTTTAACGTGTACTTGAATCTACTGGATTTAAATCTAATATAAAAAAAATAAAAACATTGATAAGTGATGAGTAAACTGAATTAATAAAACAAATCAAACTAAACACACACAAAAAAAAGAAAGTCAGTAAAACATTTTTCAAATGTGTATTTTTATTGTACAAAATTACAATGTTGATGATACAATATGTTATATGATACAGAAGGATAGTATTTCATCAATATACATATATAAAATTACAACAAATAATGATATGAGCAGCGAGCAATTAACGAATACACTAACCAAACGATTTGCCAATCACAACAGTATGATCAACACCACATACTACATCTTTAGATTTAATTGGAAGTAATAATGAAGTTGGATAAGTTTGACTATTATCAGCATTATTGGTAATTTGTTTGCCTAAGCCTAAACAATATAGACCACCACGTGGAGCACCCCATGCCCATAATAAACCATCATTACTTTGTGCAATGAAATGATGCAAACCAGCAACAACATAATTAATGCATGATTCACTATTTACAATAGCTGGTATAAATAAACCCGGTGGAATTAATGTTGGACGAGGTGAATATGTCACTTTTGGACCTAATCCAATACATCCAAAACCCCAAACAAATACCTTGAGATTTAGATGATACAAATACATATGAGAAATAGAATTAACTAAAGTAACAATACATTATCTTATTTTTATAATAAATAAAAAAAGTATGATTTTACAAAGTTGAATCTAAAAGAAAAATAGTCAAGGAAATTTGTAGAGAAAAATTTAATTTGAAAACAGTTTTCATGATGGACTGATATAGAATAAATTGGCAGGCGAAGAGTCAAAAACCGAGTAGTAATGAAGAATTGTTTCTCTCAAGTGAAAACTAATCTCTAAAAATACTTGTTTTATTTAATAACACTGTCTATATGTTTGTTAGTGAGACTAGATTTGTAGATAATTTCTCAAAGATCTAATGAGAAAGAGTGATTTGTGTAGATGAATCTTCATTCAAAATATTACACAAATATTATTGATGACATTGGATAATGCTGATGATGACAGTGTAATATCATGTATAGAATTTTTTTAGCGGCAAAACTTTAATCGATTAATTTGAAGTGATATTTAATCATGTTTCTTTTGTGTCAAATATTTTGTAGATATGCAAAAAACGACAGATAGAAAGGAGATCAAGATCAGCCGCCTTACAAAGAATTCAATTTAAATCAGTTTGAAAATGCATGAACCTTGATTGTTTTTTAAGTATGGAAGTTTACTACTGAATGATACGACATGATTTTGTACTTCAGGTACATAATCACAAGTTTTAAAGTATAAATAATACAGCAAAAAATAAGATATATCTTGTTAGGATATTCACCAAATATCCTAAGAATACTACTTTTAGAAGTGCAATCCTATTGGTCGATTTCTATTGGCCGAAATTATGATCGTTCTTACCGTCAGGGTCAAATACTTCAATGTTACCTCTTATTGGTCATCTGGACGGTCAATGTCATTCAAATGTTCTTTTCTATTGGTCGTCCTAAATTGTCAATGTCACAGACGTTGATGCTTTTTCTTATTCGACCATAGTGTATAAATACGCGCTATCTGGAAGACTTAATAATTCCGTTTTCCCTGCCTACTTCTTTTGTTTTCGACCCAATAAACATCTTCCTTCCACGGTGTTACGTTCTGATTTCTAGGAGATTTGGAAAAGCCTTTTGGGTCGTATTGTGATATTTGAATTGGACGCCGTTAGGACTGAAGAGTTTTGCGTAGCAGCGTTTACAACATATCTCTAATCTTCCTGACGTTCTGACTGACAGCTAGGGTTGGGGTGAGAAATTTTGTGAGGGGAGTCCACTGTTATTTAAGGGTATACAGAAAATATGATTGATAAACTTATTGTGTTCAGTGGGAAAAGAAGAGATTCATAACATATGAAAGTAGGGAACTCAGCAGTTTGATCGATGCACTAACATTGAAAAGGCCTAGAATCCCATAAAGTCATGGTCGCTCACGTCGATTATAAAAAATAGGAATATATGCATGATACAACGTTTGTACCTTAATGACTTCGTTTTAAAGTTTGATAAAGGTCAGTCAGTCAGTCAGTCGCAACGTAGAACTTCGTACGTAAGTACATCAGTTCATGTCGCCATACCACATCAGCACC